CGTTATCAGGAAGACTATTCCATACTCTGACTACACGCTGTGTAAAGAAGTGCTTCCTTAAATCCAGTTTGAAATGTTCCGCCGCTAATTTCCACCTATGGCCATGAGTTCTTGTATTTGAACTAATGCTGAAGTAACTATTTGGTTGAACAGCATCCAAACCCGCTAGAATCTTATAGACCTGGATCATGTCCCCCCTCAGTCTCCTTTGCTTGAGGCTGAACAGATTTAGCTCAACTAACCTTTCCTCGTATGACATTCCTCTAAGACCAGGAATCATTTTTGTGGCCCTACGCTGCACCTTTTCTAAGGCCGCAATGTCCTTTTTAAGATATGGTGACCAAACCTGCACACAATATTCTAGGTGAGGTCTCACCAAGGAATTGTATAATCTTAGCATTACCTCCCTTGACTTAAACTCCACACACCTAGAGATATACCCCAACATCTTATTGGCCTTTTTTATTGCTTCCCCACACTGGTGAGAATGGATAACAATTTATCCAGTCCGAGTACAAATAATCTTCGTCTGTTGAGTCAAGTGAACCTCTTATATTTAAAGATATAATTTGCTACAATATTTATCCAAGCCAATAAACATATACACATATACATTTTCTTTTGCAAAATCATAACTTATCTATTGGTGAATAGATAAGAACTATCTCATGAATTTATAAATTAAAATTGCATTGCTGACATAGATACTATTCAAAGAATAGGTAATATAACTACAGTAGTATGGTATTATAAATGCTATAATATTGGGTCAGTGTCTGGCTCACTGGGCTAAGCCTCTTTGCCTGTGATTGGAAAATTGCTGGTTCAAGCCTGGCCTTAGCGCAGGGGTCTCCAACTCCAGTCCTGGAGAGCTACTATCCAGTAGGTTTTCTATCCTACCTGGCTTCTGATGAGTCACACCTGCTCCTGGTATTTACCTGAGAACAGGTGTGGCTCATCAGAAGCTGGGTAGGATAGAAAACCTACTGGATGGTAGCTCTCCAGGACCGGAGTTGGAGACCCCTGCCTTAGCGCATTTGAGGGTCCTTGAGCAGGACCCTAAACCCCCAGCTCTCCAGGCCTTGCTATGGGTGGCTACCCTTTGCAGCCAGCTTGCTACAAAGAGCAAGTTGTGGGAGGCATCAAGAGAATTTCCCCACAGGGATCAGTAAAGTACCCCTTGTTATTATAACATCATGGTAATAGCAACAACACAAAGTGCTTACCAAAAAATACTGCAAGTGCAAGTACCACAAAAGCCTTCATGATGGTGTTTCCTAGAAAAACCAGTAAACTTATCAGTCAAATCATAAACAAAAGCATTCCAGTTTCAAAATGTCTTCTTTTTACATATTGTTTTACATATCTCCTGTCTTACCTGAGTTGAGATTGAGGTTCTCTGTGTCAGAGTGCCAGTGTTTGGCTGTTTATATAGGGAGCTGAGACCTAAAGTCTGGGACCCAAAGTCCAGTTAGGAGCTCCCTGCTGTCACTGCAGCCACTCCTGCACCACATCACATCACATTCAGAACTTCCCTGGACTGGAACATGATGACTCACAGATACTATGCACAGATGCTAGATCATGACCAAGCATCTAGGCATCTAATCTCACTTTTGAAGATTCTACTGTACATACACTCCTTTTCTAAAGTAGCAAATGCTATACAGAGAATATTATGCATGTCAGAATTGCTTGCCTAACCAAACGGTCTGTGATTTAATCTACCAGTTTCACTTGGTCCTGAGATACACAAAATTCCACTTTGAGAATATCCATAATGATTTCATTGTTACTGTTATTTGGTGCTCTCAGTGTGATGTCAACATCTTGCAGCCAATATAAAAGGGCTTTCTGTAGAACATTCTGTCTTCTGTATAGGTTTTTATGATTAATATCCAAGTATCCATTTATCCAGCAAAAGCGTCACGTTTGTTTTTATTTCGCAGATGGTTTTGTTCTAAGTGATATACGTTTGAGGCATCACATCGTGTACAGGGTTTATTAACTGTGAAATTCTGTGACATAGTTTATTGTTTTTTTATTATGAAATGTGAAATGAAGATCCGGTTTCCAAGGACTTTATAAGTGGGGTGTAGAGGGGGGCCAAGTGCCTATGTTATGCAGCATAGGGCCCAAGGCAGCAGGACACCCTGGGCAGAATACCAGTCTGTTAGAGGGGAAACACACACTCACACACTATAGACAAGTTAGAAATCATAGTTCACCTAACTGCACCTCTTTGGTTGGTAGGAGGAAACAGGAGTACCCAGTGAAAACCAACACAACAAGAGGGTAGCAGGCCACAAACACAAAGGGAGGATTCAAACCCACCCAACATGTAGCGAATATATCCGCATGGTGTCCGGGGTGAGCACCATCTGAGCTGGAGTCCTGGTTCAGTCCATGGAGGGGTGACATCATGGATGTGACTTACAAACTGTAACATTCTGGGTGCAGACTTCAATCTGCCACCCTACACAGGCTGATGTGGAGGACTGACTCATTGATGGACTTTAGCTTTGCCCTTGACCACAGATTACACCTTGCCTTTAGCAAGCAAGTCCGCTCTTTCTTTTTCTATAATGTTAGCACGCCCAGGGGGGGTTGGGCAGCCAATTGACCTTGGACCCCCAGAGGTTTTTTTCTCCCTACTTGGAAATTTTTGTTTCCTCTCCTCCTTTGTCATCTGGCTTTCTCTATTTTATTTCTTTCTTTCCTTTTCCCTGTTTTTGTATTATTCTGTCTTAATGATATTGAATGTATCACAGGACGCCCATGTAAAGCACCATGGGGCGAATCTGTTATGAAAGGCACTATATAAAATTGGACATGCAAACACCACAAATACAGAAGGAGGATTCAAACCCGCAGCCCCTGAGATGCAGGGCGAGAGTGCAGCACCCTGTGCTCACCCACATTGTGGTCTCCTTCAGGACAGCATCAGGAGGCCTTAAGCATAGGGACTCACTTTCAGAAAGTATTAATGAACAACTGAGAGAGGAGGATTCTGGCCATCATCAGCAAACCAGAAGACAGTGTGCCTTCATTGGCATGTCTATATGGTTACTAGACCTGAAATTTAACCGTGAACTTTTCTCCTTGTCCAGTCTATGGACTGGATACCTAGGGCCAATCAGGGAATGACTATCTTCTTTGGAGGAATTAGGGTAATTTCTATGGCAACAGGGATTGAGCAGTGATGGGACTGATGACATGACATGTATATAAATTTTTTTTTGAAAAGCTGCATCCGTGAGGATGGGGAAGAAAATCTAATTGCTATGGGGAGAGAAATGTTTCCATGAGTAGTGGGGGAGTGTATCCTTTCCATTACTAATGCCACAATTCCAGGACTGATAGAGTCAGGATGAGAATATCAGTGTCCTCCATGGAAAAGCAGCCATTGGAGGGGGTGTGATCAGAGAGAGGGCTGGAAGAGTATTCCATGAAGTAATGGGAGCCAGCCAGTTTGACAGCAAGACATTGCTGGTTTTTAGAGCTGCCCTTTGTCAGTCACCCCCACAGCTCACAGTCATGGACAAACTCCCCCCGTCCCTGATGACACTAGAATGCTCTCAAAACAATGTTTTGATAAATCAGTGCTTAAAATATGTCAATTTATGGCTGAATCTGTCTGCCACCCACCTGGATCTCTGCATACCTCCCCAAGTACTATAACTGCTGCAGCCGGTAATTTCAGTACAAATAAATGTCACTGTGATTGGCTGAAGTATGAGGATGAGTGCATTAGTCACTGAAAGGCAGCCCCATGCAAACTGATTACCTGAGTGCATAGCAGGTGTATACCTAATAGGATGAAGAAGACCGGCTCTTCCTTGGGTTTTGGCAGCAAAGCGGTCTACCAGTGGCCTATTGTCAAAGTCAGTGTTTGTTAAAACTTAATGAGTAACCCTGTCAACAGAAGGTGTGTTATATCTATCATATTTTGACTTTTGGCTTTCCGGTAGCCATTAACTCAAAGGGGCTTCTCCAGTCACTATGATTCTCCTAGCTTTCCCCAGTATCTAAATCTAAATCAAACTTTATGAACTATATTTTTATTTTGTTTTCATTTGTTATGAGAGGGGCTCAGCTGCCATGCCTAGGAGGGTATGAATGTGTTGTCTGTCTTAGCTGTTTAAATGGGTGCAAGTACTAATGGATCATATTTTGTAAGCTAGGAATGATCAGCTATCAGAAACTGACTGTCTGCTTGGGGAATGTCTGCCTCTCAGCCCTCCCTTGTGAACTCCAGCTTCTGGCCTAACCATGCTTGCAGGAGGATGATATTTAGAGTACTTTCTCGAGCTTACTCTGCTTCACCAGGTCTCATAATCTACCTCCTCAATATGGTATGTGACCTTGAAGGACACTTGTCGTGAAATTACAATTTGTATGAGATATAGGGAATTAAACGTGAATTTTATCCCTTATTGTAAAAAATATCTAATTTGTTTCCCTTGTTGTATGTCTTTTTAAAAATATTACAGTATCTGCTCTTGTAATTTTTTTTCTTCTGAGTTTAGCCCTCACTTTTCTTTTTCAAATGGGTCTGGACACGGGGCACAAAGTTCCCGTGAGTCCTGGTTGTAATGTAAAGTAAATAGTGAAAATTCACAGAGGATGGAGGAATTTCCTGAATGACAAACAGTGATAGGTGGATTATTTTGTTCCATTTCTTCATAGTGATGTGAATGAAGTTATGGACTTTTGCGGGGTCCATGGACTAGACTATTATTCTGCACCTAGTAAACACTGCTTCAAATCACTTTAACCTCAAAAAGCTTGCACAGTACCCTCAATGTATCTGCCGTAAAATTCAGGAAGGATCTATGGTGTGAATCTTATTTGGGATAAAAAGTGAAACAGTTCCCCAGAAATAGTGTTTTCTGATATGCAATTGGATGCACCTCATACCATAGTCTACAATAATTATAAAACAGTATAAGGATTGTGATGAAATCATATTGTGAACTAATTTAACAGGATGTTTCAGGTGTTTTAAAATATATTTATTGTAAATACCTTTTCATTCATTACAGTGTGAAGTCAACCATATACATTTAATGCAGCAATCACAGAACCAAACATACATTGTATGAGTAAAATAAAGTGCTCAAAATTTTAGAAACTAATATCTCAGAGTGGTCTCACAGTTTGGTTTTGTTTCAAATGCAGTGTGGTCCTGTTAGTGTGTCTGTATTGGCCAGGCATTTTTTTTTGACAAAGCAGGATCAAGAGAAATTGTATCTCTGAAATGCTCACTAGCAGTGTTCAAAAAGGCTTTGGAGTTTTGTGTGTTTCTAACTGCTACTGATGAAGGATTCCCAGAGTGAGCTTAACTTGGTTTTCAGGTCCTGGGCATAGGGGTCCAGCTTCTCCCTCAGGTCTTCAGCATAGGGTGCCAGACTCTGCTGGACTGTCTTTGCTCTCTGCATCATCTGGCTTTGGATGTTTTCAGCCAGAGGAGCTACGTTGTCCTTGAACTCCTGCAGACGTTGGTCCACTTTCTCCCGGAACTCCTCAGTGTATGGGCCCAGCTTGGTCTGCAGCTCCTTCACGTTCTCATCCAGGCTGGCCTTCAGTTCCTCACTCTTCTGAAGCAGGGTGGTCTTCAGGGCTTCAGTGTCCAGGGAATCTGCATAAGGGGCTATTCCTCCCTTCAGCTGCTCCACTCGTTCCTGAATTTTAGCCTTCAGCTCATCAGTGTATGGCTCCAGCTTACCCTTAGCCGTGCTCACATCCTCTGCTAGACGTTCCCTCAGAACCTCTGCTTGTTTGAAAATCTGAGTTAACGTGTCTTCGGCCAGTGGGGTCAGCTGACCACGCAGAGCCACTGTGTATTGGTTAGCCACATCAGCACTTTCTGTGATCTTGGCACTATTTAACACAGAGAAAGACAATGATGAATGTTATTTACTACAGTGGGACACAAACACTAACAAGTTTCTTTTCATCTCACTTTGTTAATTGACTCACTTGACCGCTTGGCCCAGCTGAGACTCCCTGATCATCTTCAGAGTCTCTTCAGTAGTTTGCGTAGCCCTAGCAACATACTCCCAGAATGCATCTGTCACCTTTTCCAGCTGTGGTTTGGGCTCATCAGCCCACAGAATGTTGGCATGACAACCTGCTGGGATGTGATAGAGAGAGGGGTAAGGAGCATGCGCTGATCACAGCACATTGCCACACCCACCACACAACAAACCACCTCAGGCATGAGAACCTGAGTGAAGCCATGTGGCAGGTAATATCTCAGCACCACATTAGTCCAAATGTAACAGTGTGAGTTTTTTTCCTGTGGCTGGAGTGCCAATCCTGCCAACAACCCCAAAATTTCTCTGTAAGTTGGAGGACCTGCTTGCAGGGCTGGATGTAGATTAACATCATGTCCAGGATGAAGCAATTGCAGGTTAAGGGCTTTGCTCAAGGGCCCAATGGAGTAGAACTGCTCCAGGCATTCACAGGATTTAAACCAGCTACCTTCCGATTGCTGGCATAGATCCTTAGCCTCAGAGCCACCACTCCACCCACAATGTAATAGATCTGATTGTAATAATCCATGCATCTTTTCATCTTCCATAACAGTTTATCCAGTAAGGGTATAAATAATCTTTGTCTACTGAGTCAAATGAACCTCTCATAGTTTAAGGTATAATTTACTACAATAGTTCTATAAACCTTTGCTTTCATATAACATTTCTTTACAGATGCTCAGATGTTATCCATAGGTGAAATGTTACACTTTGCAGTGAATTTATGAATAAAAATTTCATCAACAATGCCGATATTCTGCAGAAAATAATCAATTCATATGATTACATTATAGTAATAGCAACAGCAAAAATTGCTTACCAGAAAATACTGCAAGTGCAAGTACTACAAAGACCTTCATGCTGGTGTTTAAGAGGCGTTTCCTAGGGAAAAAAAACAGCAAACTATCAGTCTCCTCATAAAGAAAAGCATTTCAGTTTCAAAAGGTCTTCATTTTACATATTCTTGCTAAAAGTCAATCTCCTGTCTTACCTGTGTTGGGATTGAGGTTCTCTGTGTCAGTGTGCCAGTGTCTGGCTGTTTATATACCGAGCTGAGACCTAAAGTCTGGAACGCAAAGTCCAGTAAGGAGCTCCCTGCTGTCACTGCAGCCACTCCTGCTCCACATCACACTGATATCCGCACTAGACTGAACCCTGATAACACACAGATAGTGCCACAATACATATGTACTGTGCCAAGCTTTATCCCCATTGCAGGCGAATATTTAAACTGCTCTTGGGGCATGAATGTAATAATAATTTTTTTGTCCAATGGTACATTGTCTTAATTAAGAATATAATTTTCCATTTTGCTTTATTAGATTTTTCTCATCTTGCGTGTTTATTTTTATATTCAAATGCATCATGTAAGGTTCCTCTGACAGAACAATTAATGATTCCTTGCTACAACAATTGTGATTACTTATTATTCATTTATATGAGTCTCACATATGAATTTGGCAATCGGGATGACAGTAGACGAAAGATGTTTAAATGTTTGTTTGTCTTATAATCAGTTCAAGGTGATGGATTTTGCCCTTTGAGATGGAAAGTAGGCAAGTTGTTGTAAAACATAATTAGTGCTACTAGATTCTTCACAATAAAACTCAGTTAGTCAACGATAACAGCTAACAGTAATGTAGGGTTAAAGTCCTTCTTATTAAGCTCATGAATCACTCCAAATGTGATTCTGAATTTGTTACTCCATCGATCATAGATACTGTATATTTTCAAAATACAATTTGTCTGAATAACATATGCACATATAAACATAAACATAAGCGCTGGCTGAAAAATGTTAGCTCTGATAATCAACAATCCGCTAACTCCCAAGTTTAATTCGACAATGATAAAGACAATGATACAGCACTAGAAAATTTAGCAGAAACTAACAATAGCCGCTAACCTTTGTTGCATGAACTTAGCTTCAGTTTGGTTTTGGGCTCTGAAACCCTGAAACATACCTATGCCTCATTTCTACCAATGAGGTGCTGCAGCTGGGGACTACTGCAGGGTGCCCGAATCCAACAAGTTATGTGACTAAGCAAGACGTCCAGCTTTGTGATACAGGCCCCTGTTGTCTGCTTAGTTTAGGGTACCCCCGTTTAAATGGAGTTTATCTTCATTCACTTGCATTTAGCCCAGACTACCTTAAAGACGAAAAGTTATTGATCAGTCACTTTTTGTTTTTACCCATAGACAACAGCATGTCAAGATTGTTGCAGATGTGCTCACAACAGACCGGAACAAATATGTTTCATTTTAAGATTTACAAATGTTTTTGACTATCCGGGCTGCTGCTACTGTAATTAGTCTTTGTATGAATCTAGTAAGAACTGAGTTTGAAGTGGATGTTACCCTTCACAAATGATTCATCTTGCCACCATTATTGTTTGATTTTCATCGACAGGGTATCGAGGTGCAGCCGTAACGTTAAGGGCATTCATTATGGAGGGCTAGAGGTGACATCCCTACTATTTGCAGGTGATGTTGTACTTTTAGCTTCACCTGTCGCGGACCTCCAGAATGGACTTATGAGTTCAGTGTAACGCCAAGTGTAAAGCTGGAAGAATGAGAATATGCCCCTATTGGAAGAGATTTGATTGCTCCTTTCAGTAAGACTTTAGTGCCTTAAATACCTCTGGATACTGCTCCCAAGTGACTGTATGAGGGAGTTTCAGATTGACAGCAGAAACAGTTTGGTGGCTGCAGTTTTATAGGCACTGAACAGGTCTTAAATAATTAAAGGGGAGCCCAGTCTTCATGCTTACAGATAATCAGTCCCTGTCCTCTATGGTTATTAGCTGAGGGTACAGATTTAAAAACATATTGTGGTGCGAGTTGCTGAAATGAGGTTTCTCAACACGGTTGCCTGTCTCACTCTGTGTAAGATGTCCAGAAATCTGCAAGGACCTTGAAACTGAACTGTGGTTCCTTCAAACTGACAGTGGTCTCAACATCTAAGGATGCCAACTGGGGACATTTTGGTCCCCAAAGATGATCTATGCAAGCCCACCCACATACACATGCACATTAGTGGAGACTCCACTTCCCCAAACCACATTTTTTGAGACTGTGGGAATACTGTACTGGAGTACCTGGAGGAAATTCAATGAAATACAAGGATGATGTGTGAATTGCACAGGCAGAGTGTCATTGCACACCAGAGACAGAAATGTTATTACACTATATGGTCAGGTTATAAAACATGAAAGAATAACCTTGGATTTCATGGTGTTACATTGTGATGGTTTCAATATACAGATGACAAAGCATGTGTCGACTGGTGAAGAGGTACACTGTCCTTAATGCATGTGTTATTGTGAACTGTCTAGGTTCAATTTTTCACCCAATTTGTTAATATTTAAAAATGACAAATCAACAAATGAAGTAGACAAAAGACAACAGATATTCATTGTGACAGTTGTATTTCTGTAAATTAAAACACAATTGCTGGAGTAATGCATTCAACAAGAGAAATACTACATCCATCTATGAGATAGATACATACATATGCGTACAATAAATAGTTACTGTTTATTGAAATAATTGCACGGTAGCATTTGGAACATTTACATTTACGAAATGAAAGAATGTCAACTTCGTAAGGCAGGACTTTGAGAACTGCTCTAAAATATTATTAGATTATAAGCTATTTAATGCACGTAAGCCTATGTCATATATGACTTTGGATTATGTAAGTAAATATCATAGCAGGCAAACTGCTGCTGTTTTCCAAAGTAATGTATTTAAACTGAATCTTAGGTTATACAGAAATATTACTAATGCTAGACAATGCACAAAAAGTTTGAACAAATGATTTATTTAAATAAATTAGACAAACCAAGAATTGATGGTTACAATGCAAAAACTCATATTTACATATCTGTGAAACAAATTGAAATACATGTTTGACAAATGAAGTCATCCTTTATACTTGAGAAAAAGGGTTGTATATTCAAATGACATTCAAATATATATTCTTGACAATGTATTTTTTACAATTGTCTATGTCTCACTTAATTTGAGGCATTTTTGATACTCCTTGAAATATAGAATACATGAGAAACTGTCCTTTAATGCATAACAATGCAGAAATGCAATCAAGCACATGTGTATGTACTGTATGGTGTGAAAGCTGTTTCTGATATAGCTAACTGTGGGGGCAAGGGACAGGATGATATCTTTTTATTTCTTGGTAAATGATTCCCAGAGTGAGCTCAGCTGGGTCCTCAAGTCCTGGGCATAGGGGTCTAGCTTCTCCCTCAGGTCTTCAGCATAAGGTGCCAGACTCTGCTGAACTGTCTTTGCTCTCTGGACCATCTGGCTCTGGATGTTCTCAGCCAGCGGAGCCACGTTATCCTTGAACTCCTGCAGACGCTGGTCCACTTTCTCCCGGAGCTCATCAGTATATGGGCCCAGCTTGGTCTGCAGCTCCTTCATGTTCTCATCCAGGCTGACCTTCAATTCCTCACTTTTCTGGAGCAGGGTGGTCTTCAGGGCTTCAGTGTCCAGGGAATCAGCATAAGAGGCCACCTCCTGCTTCAGCTTCTCCACCTGCTGCTGGATTTTGGCCCTCAGCTCCTCAGCATAGGGTTCCAGCGTAATCTTGGCTGTGTTTATGTCACTCATCAAGGAGTCTTTCAGTACCTCTGCTTCTTTCAGCATTTTGATCAACATGTCCTGGGCCACTGCTGTTAGCTGACTGCGCAGAAGCATGGTGTACTGACTCACAACATCCGCACTCCCTGTGATCCTGTCACTATAGATTCGAAAAGCAAAACATTAGAACACCTGTTGAGGAGTATGATATAGTCAAATTTCTACTGTAAATAATTCCTCCATGTCAGTCATGACTTACTTGACTTCCTGGCCCAGCTGAGACTCTCTGATCATCTGCAGAGTTTCCTTGGCAGTGTGCGTTGCCTTTGCTACATAGTCCCAGAATGCACTGGCCACATCCTCCAGATGTGGCTCTTTGGCTTGGCAACCTGGAGGACATAAGAATGACAGATGGTATTAATGGCAGACTGAAGTTTTAATAATTTGATACATGCATTGTAAACCAGTGTCATTTTTGTATGTAGAGTTGCTTATTACAGCAGGATGACCTAAGTATGAAAAATAATATATCTTCAGATCCAGTTTCAAAAATATTTTACTAACTATTTTAGATTTACAAATAAAATTTATTGTCTATTAAAACTGTTAATTGACTTTGCTATTTTCAAGTCTGACCAATTAGAGACCAGTAGTATTAGTGCATTCAGTTTGGGAACACTGGTGCAGAGGATTCACTTCTACTGTATCCAGCTACTCGCTTACCAGTGAGAACTGCAAGGACGAGTACCACAAGTAGCCTCATAGTGACAGCTTATATCCTGGACAAAGCAAGAATAAATAATGATTGGTTTTCATCTTAAGAACGTCTTTCAAGTAATTATGTTCAGAAAGGAGCTATGTGTAGTCGACACGGTCAGAACTTACCAGTGTGTGTAAAGGGTGATCTCTGCCTGCGCTCCAGAGTGCGACTACATTTATAGCTATCAGAGATCGGCAGTTCGGGACCCAAAGTCCAGTAAGGAGCTCCCTGCTGTCACCAGAGCCGCTCTTGCTCCACATCACACTAACACCCGCACTGGGCTGAACCATGATAACACTCAGATACTGGGCCCAAAAAGGTCATGATAGGTATTAGCATCAGTTAGACCCTGATAATACATTTGTCTCAAAACAAGAAAACCCAGAATGTATGAAGCTGCAGAATTCCACTTTTGTTATACAACATGATACACACAACTATGTATAAGCCAATATAGACACAAGGGAAGCTCGAAGACTTAAGAAATGTTATTTTTCATCGTTTCTTTCCTGTCATTTTATATTATGGAAAAATGTTACATCTACAGTCCTTCATTAAGAGTGATCATTTGTGAACCTTAACGATATTCTAAAAATATCATGTCACACTGAAGTGGTCCGATGTTCAGTGGAGAAAAGGTTCCACATATCACTGTCCTGCAGAGTTAGATTTGTCGAGTTTGCCTGGGAGAGTAAAGTACATCCATTCATAATCAGTCCGGGAAGCACTTAGGTGCTGCTCTATCTTTGCTTCACCATATCAAGCTTTGCTGAGTTACGTCATGCTGATTCCTGACATTACTCTTTTTGTGGGGAAATTTTTGGGAGGAGCACCATGCTGGCTAAGCAGGCAGCAGTATGACCTCCTCTTTTTGAAGGTTTCCTCCAGGCAATCCTGTGACATTTAGTTCGGCTGATGCTTCTTTATTGCCTTTGAAGAGCATCATAGAGGATTCCGTACCCAGCACTTTCTGGGATCAGCTCCAGCCTTGAGGTGAGCCTGCATTGGACAAACTCCCCCAAAAGTAGGCCAACGAAAAACCAACCAAGCCGAAATAAAGTCGTCAACCAAAAGCTTCTTTTAGTGGAAGACAGAAGGGTTCTGAGCAGCTTCTGAGGTATCACACTTGTCAAGTCCGGACATGATAGAAATGGACAATGTCATTTAGGGGCAGCTATCATTATCAAAAGAGGTCATATACATTATCAGAACAAGACACAGTGGAGAGGGGGATTATGTTCATATTGCAGTGTCTTGTCCATTTGAGTGACTCTGAATGCATCCTGATGTTCGTTGCCTAATAACAACTGACACCAATGGCCAGGTTAAAATGGGAGATGTCCTAGGTACAATTTACAAGTACAGTCTAAGGCAGGGGTCTCCAACTCCGGTCCCGGAGAGGTACCGTCCAGTAGGTTTTCTATCCTACCTGAAGCCAAGTGGGACAGAAAACCTACTGGATAGTAGCTCTCCAGGACTGGAGTTGGAGACCCCTGGTCTAAGGGGTGAACACCTCTATTTCACTGCACACATCTATGTTGTATGTTTGTTTTATGAGAAATAACCTTGAAACTTGAACTTTAAGTGCAGAAAAATAAAGCTGGGGGAGATCCACAAGCCTGGAGGTGTGCGCTGATAGCGCTGATCGTGGAGCCGCTGTACCACGCTCAGACACTTCTCAGTTTTAACCTATGGGGACAAAGGACACATTGGGATACTTATACACTCACCTAAAGGATTATTAGGAACACCACACTAATACGGTGTTTGACCCCCTTTCGCCTTCAGAACTGCCTTAATTCTACGTGGCATTGATTCAACAAGGTGCTGAAAGCATTCTTTAGAAATGTTGGCCCATATTGATAGGATAGCATCTTGCAGTTGATGGAGATTTGTGGGATGCACATCCAGGGCACAAAGCTCCCGTTCCACCACATCCCAAAGATGCTCTATTGGGTTGAGATCTGGTGACTGTGGGGGCCATTGTAGTACAGTGAACTCATTGTCATATTCAAGAAACCAATTTGAAATGATTCGAGCTTTGTGACATGGTGCATTATCCTGCTGGAAGTAGCCATCAGAGGATGGGTACTGTACATGGTGGTCATAAAGGGATGGACATGGTCAGAAACAATGCTCAGGTAGGCCGTGGCATTTAAACGATGCCCAATTGGCACTAAGGGGCCTAAAGTGTGCCAAGAAAACATCCCCCACACCATTACACCACCACCACCAGCCTGCACAGTGGTAACAAGGCATGATGGATCCATGTTCTCATTCTGTTTACGCCAAATTCTGACTCTACCATTTGAATGTCTCAACAGAAATCGAGACTCATCAGACCAGGCAACATTTTTCCAGTCTTCAACTGTCCAATTTTGGTGAGCTCGTGCAAATTGTAGCCTCTTTTTCCTATTTGTAGTGGAGATGAGTGGTACCCGGTGGGGTCTTCTGCTGTTGTAGCCCATCCGCCTCAAGGTTGTGCGTGTTGTGGCTTCACAAATGCTTTGCTGCATACCTCGGTTGTAACGAGTGGTTATTTCAGTCAAAGTTGCTCTTCTATCAGCTTGAATCGGTCGGCCCATTCTCCTCTGACCTCTAGCATCAACAAGGCATTTTCGCCCACAGGACTGCCGCATACTGGATGTTTTTCCCTTTGCACACCATTATTTGTAAATCCTAGAAATGGTTGTGCGTGAAAATCCCAGTAACTGAGCAGATTGTGAAATACTCAGACCGGCCCGTCTGGCACCAACAACCATGCCACGCTCAAAATTGCTTAAATCACCTTTCTTTCCCATTCTGACATTCAGTTTGGAGTTCAGGAGATTGTCTTAACCAGGACCACACCCCTAAATGCATTGAAGCAACTGCCATGTGATTGGTTGATTAGATAATTGCATTAATGAGAAATTGAACAGGTGTTCCTAATAATCCTTTAGATGAGTGTGTATACAAGTCAAAAGGTTCTAAATACTGACTCGTGCATACGCAAATCTATAAGCTGACAGGACACGACATGACGACACGACGTCACGACAACGACATGGTCAGAAAACCATGTGACTCCAGGCTTCTCAGCTTGTACCCATCCTATAGCACTATCAAGCACAACGCACCGCCCTTGCCCCTACGTGCTTAAAGTGGCAGTACCTATTTTTATCATTAAAATGCAATGGCACTAAATCTAAGTTTTATCCATGTGCATTATAAATTCTAAATTATGAATTATGTGAATCATGAACGTATATGAAATATCAAATATAAACTTAATTTAAATTCCAGTGTGTAAAACAAACACCTGGCACCTACAAGTTGGATTTGTCACCAGTCCAGAAGTGTCTACGGCAGGGGTGTCAAACTCCAGTCCTGGAGGGCCAGAGCCCTGCACAGTTTTTGGTTTCCCCTCATTTAACACACCTGATTCAACTCCTTGTGCTAATTACCACAGAGCTCATAAGCTAAATAATTTGTGGTGGAACAGGGAAAGAGCTAAGCTACACAGGGGTCCGGCCCTCCAGGACTGGAGTTTGACACCCCTGGTCTACGCAATGCGGAACAGAAATAGGCTTTCATTTTACTGAAGTCACTCACTGCAATGACTCTGGAAATAAAGTACCCTATGGAATTATGGAAATTTAGAGGAATGAATATATGTATTACCATTTCTTCCAGTTAAATGATTTATCTGTCAGGTCAACTTTAGATTTTGTGAAACAATGATTTAGTCTCTGACCTCATTGTGGGGGCCACTTCACATGCAGACTTTATTATTTATTTGTTTATTTTTTAAATTATTTATGTAGCATTGTTTACACCACAGGGTTTACAAAGTGCTTAACAGACATTTAAAATAAATGGATTACAATAAGCATGACAATAAGCACAGAAAAAAATAGAATCACTTTCAATAATAATATTAATAATAATCATCATCATCATCATAAAATGGTACCACAAATGTGGGACTTTAACCACCTATGTTCTTGGTGTGGTACTTTAGATGACCCTCTCTGGTCCTTGTGCAAGGGACCTCGAACCCCTGCTACACTGGGACGCAAACCCAGTCTCCAAAATGTCTTGATATGCATGCCATATGGCTTATAGATTTAGAGTGGGATATTGTAAAAGTTCCTGTACATGTAATGAGTCCCAATACTTTTGTTCATATAGTGTAGGTCTGGACCAAATAGGTCCTCCACTTATTCTCACGTGGGCCTCCAGGTCAGTCCTCGATACCCTTAATGCTCCCTGAATCCAGATCGAATAAGAAACTGCTATTATACACCCTGACATATATATCCATGGCTGATAGTGGTCACAGTCTTCCAACACAACAAATCACAGAGAGAGGCATGGACTGGATACTGTCAACCCTGCTCAGGCCCCATCCTTTGAGTGTTTTTTTTTAGAAATCTTTTTCTTATTTGCATATTATATATGTATATCTCCTCACATCCCACCCTCTTTCCTTCAGCCAATCAAAGAAGTGACGCTCTCCTGCCGGCTCTGGTCTGATGTCTCCCTCCCACCAACTGCACACATGTTTTTCTTTTATTTGTGTTTATGAGTATCTGATTACCCCACCAAGGGCATCACCCTTTTGCTTGTCCCGACACGTCACCCCGAAGCTGTCTTCCCTGCTCTTCACCGACAGCCAGCGTGGAGGGGTAGAGTCCATTGACAGCAGGGCGCTGGCCTGTCACACTGGTACATGTGGGCTTGATCACATGACACACACACACACACACACACACACACACACACACATATATATATATATATATATATATATATATACATTGTATATATATATATATAAAGCATAAATAGACAGGGAAAACACATTCACACATTTTATAAACACATCCTTTATTAGACATATAAGATGGTTTGATATCAATACTCAAGCTTTCTTTAGAGACCAGTGTGAAAGCCATGAATAGACTTCAAAAAGTGATCTGTTCTGAGCTTTGGAACAATATTTGGTCCTGTGGGTTCTGCCTGAAGAATATTCCAGATAAATCCTAAAAACAGAGGGTTGTTGCATTGTCCAAACTGTCCTTTCATATTCTACTTTGACTGTCCCCAACATGTAGCTGCAGAAATCAGTCTCTGTAGGGCTAAAAGCAGAGACAGCTGGTAGTAAATTAGCTTGGAGACAGCTCTCTTACAGACCACTGATAGGAGGGGGGGGGCTGCTGACCTGTATTCAATGGCCATTTGGAGAAGCACAGTAGCCCTACTGCTTGCTAATACACCAGCCAGTATGTGCATGTTGTGTTGTATGCTAGAAAATGGCAGAGAGATTATAAGTACAGCCTTTGTGAATTTTACATGGGGGGGGGGGGCAGTTGGCTGAGGAATGTGAAGGAACCGGTTGCGTTTTGATGAGGGGCCAGACAGTGCCACCATTTGAGCAAGCCCAGTCCTGCTGTGTCTGCTCCATTCACACGCATTGTTTTCATGCAGATAAGAGGCATCCAGGCAAGCCGTCTCCGCTGAGGGGGGCAGTGCCTCACCTGGACCCCACTCAAGCAGAGACAGGCCAGTAAACAGGGGTCTAGGGGGGGCGGAACTCAGCTTGTGTGGAGAGCAGATTGTGGCATTTGGCCCCGAATGCCCTGGAGGGTTTATCTGCAGGAGTTATGTGAGTTTTGAAACAGGGATAGGGTTTGAAAGTGATTAGTTTTCATTGTTGACACACCACTGCACACAGTGCACAAAGTCTGGCTTGTGCTTGTAAGGCATATCTATTTTCTATACATTCTACCTAGCATAATTATCATTGTCGTCATCAACATCATCATCTATTCATCTCTCTTTCGATCATACTGTTTAAAATCCTTTCATCTTCCAAAACCCCTTTGCCCCTAAAGGGTCATGGCATGCAATAAAAGAAAGAGGTGAGATAGAAGCAGTTGTATGTCCATCCATCCATCCATCTATTTCCTAGCCACGTATCCTACACTGTTGGAAAAATAGTATCAATTTGTACCATTATTTGTCACTGGGGCTGTACCATCAAGGGTCTGCCAATTGTACCGTAGCTGTAGGTAAAAGTACCTTTTAAGGTACAGAAATGGAGAAACACTTTTGTACCATTGGTAGTACATTAATGTTGTTTAGTGTGACAGTATCATGGGGGTTGGACTAGAGCCGATCCCCGCAAGCAAAGGTCAGAACGCAGCTGGACACTATAGGTGGGATATTTTTTCAAATATTTATGCCCAATATTTTGCTGTAATGCTGTAATGAGTTGCTCTTCAGATTGAGTTTAGAATAGATTTTCAAAATTTATATGGAAAAGTAACGCTTACGAATCCTTTTGTGACTGTTTCCCAAAACAAAGCTAAAGATAATTGTTCTCCTTATAAGAATGGAAACAACAGATGGCAGGGGAGCATGTGCCAGAGGCTTAGTACAGAGTTTTGCACTTACTTAATCTCATTACTAAGCAGAAACCTCAGATTCGCACTGTCAAGCTAGGTAACGTTCTCATAAAACGGTACTTGTTCTATGGTAAAGAAAATATGATCTATATGTCTGCTTGGATGTTAATTGATATTTAAGGCCTTCGCTTAAAAAATGCAGGTTACCGTCTGTTTGTTTTAATGAGAATGATGATGAGGTCACGCTGTTTTACCATCCCGTTTTGCAGCATATTATATATACCCAGTCAAGGAAAGAACACCACTGCCACCTAGTGGAAATATGTTTAAATTAGATGTTTTGTGCAGCACTTCACAGAGCGAAAGACTTGAAGCGCAATGAGCGGTAGAACTTAACCAGTAGGGAATGAGTGGCAGATACCAAAAGTGGTTGATGGGGAGGCCGGATTAAATAATTCCCGAAGGAAAATAATTCTACTTGAATGTAATTAGTTAAAATTTAAAAAGTTGTTTTATAAAAAATGTTTATTAATATCGTCAGGGACATTGCTAGAGATTTTGGGCCCCATGAAGGCATATCATATTGTCATCATCCCCCCGCCCCAGTCCAGACCAATCCAGTTATTTTCCAAATTTTGTAGGCCCCCTGTCACTTAGGGGCCCTTGCAATCGTCCTAACTTTCCCCTACCTTACGGCACCCCTGAATATCGTCAAGATTTCAAAATGCCAGAATAGCATTACCTTTGAAAATACCACCATACTTTTTCTAACCCTAACCCTAGCCTCAGTTTGCTAACTCTAACCCTAATTTGGGGCCTTAGGGTGAAACAACAGGTTGTTGGAAAGCAGGAAATATGCCACTAAAGCATGCTAAACTGTGGTTTCCTATCCTACTGGGGAGCAGATCTGTCATAAAAATACATGTTGATGTATGGATATCCCATACTTTTTCTTACCCTAACCCTAGCCCGAGTTTGCTAAGCCTAACCCTAACCCTAACTCTAATCAGGATAGTTTTCAGCTATGTTCAGGGATTTTTGTATTCGCTCCTTGACTTATGCCCTTTGGTTGTTTGCCTGGGGGCATCCATGGCGACCTCTGGAAGGTCCCTGCACAACATGGGCCCTGACCTTGGCTTTGGGCTGTGGATATTTAAAAACCTACTTGGCCAATGCCTCCGGGGGTTTGTTGGGATGCTTCCTGGTTGCTTTGGGGGGGTCCCCCTTAAAATTAATCCAACTCTATTCAAGGAGTTAATCCAGCCTAATTCAAGGAATTTAATTTTATGTGCTGCACTGTACATTTTTGATCAAATTATTTTTTCAGAAAGTTAAGGGACTGGCATCCTGTTAAGGATGTTCTCTACCTTATACTGTACTTTAACTTATGTACTTTAATGTACTACGATTTACACTGCTGAAAAAAATTAAAGGAACACTATTTAATCAGAGTATAGCATCAAGTCCATTAACTTCTGGGATATTGATTTGGTCAGTTACGTAGCAGAGGGGGCTGTCAATCAGTTTGCTTTGGTGTTAATGAAACTAACAACTAGTGCACTAGAGGGGCAAGAATAAGACGACCCCCAAAACCGGAATGGTTTAACAAGTGGGGGCCACTGACATTTTTCTGACTGTTTTTTCCGCTAGTTTTGCATTTGGCTACAGTCAGTGTCACTGCTGGTAACATGAGGCGAAACCTGGACCCTACAGAGGTTGCAGAGGGAGTCCAACTCCTTAAAGGATGGCGCATCAATATATGCCATCGTCAGCAGGTTTGCTGTGTTTCAGAGCAGTGTCGCAGGGCCATGGAGGAGATTCCAGGAGACAGGCAGCTACTCTAGGAGAGCTGGACAGGGCAGTAGAAGGTCCTTAACCCATCAGCAGGATCGATATCTGCTCCTTTGTGTAAGGAGGAACAGGATGAGCACTACCAGAGCCCTACAAAATGACCTCCAGTAGGCCATTGGTGTGAATGTCTCTGACCAAACAATCAGAAACAGACTTTATGAGGGTGGCCTGAGGGCTCCACGTATTTTATCCATCTATGTATGTCATCACAAAATGAATGGCTGTGAGAATGTGTGAATGCAATCGATGTTTCTAAGCTATAGGCTTAGAAAGTGCATATAGTCTCTTCATTGACTCCCAGCAAAAATAAAAATCTGTGGTCCATGAGGTCAGAAGGGATTTTTTTCCATAAAAGAGCCTGTCCCATGTGCTTGAAAAGATGAATGTATGACTCTCAAAGGACATCCATTTTTTAAGAAACAGATTTATCCTTTAATATATCTATACAGGTAATGTATATATGGTTTATACATATATACCATTCTTTAAAGGAAGAGAAATCAATCGAAAAGACTAGGACTCAAAAGATGATTTCACCATTATACCCAGAGTACACAGGACCCCAAGCCCAAAGATAAGCACCATGCTGGTATCAAACAAACTCAAAAACACACACACAGACACACAGACAACAATTAGGCAATAAAACCGTCTTCTTTATAGTGTCTGAAATGGGAATCTTCACCATGACCCACAACCCTGCAAAGAGCAGTTAAATCCACTCTGTGGGAGAGCTGGAGAGATGGGAGACTAGTGACAGTATCAAAGACAACCCCTAGAGGTCCTCACAAAACTATGAGCTTGTTAGACCATTATAGAGAACATGCCTGTTTCTGTTTCTACCTTCAAGTTGGAATAAGAAATACTTCAGATCAAAGTAGATTGAGAGCTTATATTTTCGGGAAGGGGGTGCCATATTACTGGAAAACTCATTTATGTTCCAATTTTTTTCCATGCATATTATGGATTTTTTTTTAATGACAGGGGCCCTGTGTGTTAGGGAATTGAAGTATCATTCAAATCTGAATCACAGATACATGTATACAGAGACAGAGCAAACCATCTTTTGATTCTATTAATTATATCTGACTATAACTGCTATTGACTGTGTGCACACAGTCCATCAAATCCACTATGACTCCATCTTTAGAGGCAGTTCACACACACGAAGTTCCCATGACTGATAAAAGTCTCACGATCAAGATGAAGACGACGGATCCTTCTACACAACCAGGCTATACCAAATCAATTGTTCAGAGTTACGGGGCTGGAAAAGGTTCTGGTTTTAACTGGGAACGACGCAAATTCCATTAGACTGTTGACCCGCAACTTCTCACATTCAATTATAAAACATAAATGGTGGTGCCACACTGGTTGGTTTACCTACCCAAATACAACAGGCATACTCTGCTGCATTCACAAATCTCAAATTATAGTGACTCAAAATATATTTTATGCAAATATGTAAAACTTAATTTTTAAACAAATGATGCAAGGCTTTTCCTTGATGCAACTCGAGGTGAGTGTGAATTCTGCACGGAGCTGCAATGACAGATTTAATCAGGAGGGAGGACTGATATCCATGCCGGTCATGTGCCCGCTTCTGGAGAGTCACAGCCGAAGTCCATCCTTTAACACGTCGCTGTCCTTAAGGTTTCGGCGTTCCTTCTGCGGAGTAAAGTCCGTCCCTGCCTCTCTGCGTCAGTTCATGCGCAGGCTTCACCCCCCCCCCCTCCTCGCCCCCCAGCACCCATGGCTGTGTCTCTATCCAATGGTGACACCAAAGCCACACTGAAACTTGTTCTTTCGGTGGTTGAGAAAGGCACCCAAAGCCAGTGAGAGCGGCAGGGGAACCAGCTTCTTCTCCAGGGTGGCACCAATCACCCAGTTACTGTCCAAAGAACCTAGCAAATTGGAAGTAGGGGGTCATTCATATGACAAAACAAGCAGCCCCTGGTACATGCCCGTGCCCATGCGTGCGGAAATGAGCCAAGTAATCAAGGCATTTATATTTAGCTGACAAGTGAAAAACAGATGTGTACTTGTGTAAAGATAAAGAAAAGGGCCCATTTCCAAGAAGGAACATGACAAAGTTTGGTGTTAGGGTTATGCTCTTTACCTTTAAAGAGAAGGTTGGCTTTGGGGAGGTCCAGCTGGTAGCCAAATGAGACACTTGTGTCCTGCATCCGCGTGCTTGCCTCGAACTCCACCCCCACCTGCAGCTGAGGAGGACACAGCAGAGCCATGGTACACTTACTTGTGTTCTCAAAATGAGAAAAACACAAGTACTTTGCGCAAAAGGGCATTCATCACATCAAGTTGCAGACCCAGTTTTGTACAGAGAGGTTAGCGCTCTGGGTGACACCAAGAGAACGAAGCTGTGCGAACAGCTCTGGGTACTATTCGCTCCAAGTGGATTGGTGCCAAACAAACAGCGACCAGGTACTAATAGGTCAGGTTCCCCTACAGTAAATGAGGTCCGCCCCCCCCTGTCTCTAACACAGACAAACGAATAGGGAATCAAGAGGGAAATGGACAGGTACCTGATCGTTTGCTTTATGGTAGTATGAGGCATGGGCACCGGCTCCACCCACAGTCAGCGTGGCAATGTAATTACTGCCTGCCAGAAAGATACCAGCAGAGAAAAGACATCATGGTGAAGCCGTAATTACCAGCATTAATGGATTAAAATTACATTTATATCAAATTTCACATACTGCTGGATTCCATGTCATTATGCTAATGCATTTATAATTAAGATTATCCATTTAAAAAGCAGGAATCACTGTCTGATAGGGTATACATTTTTTTTTGAAGATTTTCACTAAATGCCCATGATGGACTATTCTAGAGGGAGTGATTTTGCTAATTTTGCTTTTTATAATCACATTATTAACACATTCACAAAAAGATAAGCAGCAAGCCAATCTATCAATACACAACTAATTAACATTTCATCTTCAGGTGTCTTCCAAATTTTTTTGATACCTGTCACACATTAAATATCTCTTACTCATTGCAAAACATTAATTCTTGCTGCTATCATAAGTAGAGATGCACCGATCCGATATCTGAATTGGTATCGGGGCTGATCCAGACCTATTTCACAGATCGGGTATGAGCCATACGTGACCGATCCACGTCCGATACTTATTTCATTTTTGGCAGTCTCTCAAAGATAGCTCCTATTTTGTGTTAAATCTATTTATACAGTTAATTGCATGACAGCTCTTTCCCATTTTAGATGTTAACACTGCCACTCAAGGTTTTTGGCACTCAGTGGGTGTCAGCGTAGTGACTTCCGCCTGATGTGGCGTCATATGCATACCCTTTGCAGTGGGAGCCTAAAAAAAAGGAGGGTGACGATCTGAAAGTATTTTACGCTTTTAACAGCAACTAGTAGCGCATCAATTTGCAATCTTTGTAAAAACAAAGTTTTGAGAGGTGGGTGTAGCATTTAATGGAAAATCCCACTAAACAAAGAGCACGCAATTGTGCGAGACAACGCGAGTTATATGAAAAAAGAAATGGATGATTTGATAGTTGCTAGCTTGGGCTGTTTGTGCACTCGCTACAGCTTGTGATACACGAGGGGCTGCGATTGCAGTGGAACAAGACACTGATGCCAGTGGGAGAAAAATTGTGGGGCATTTTAAACATTTTGTCGCTTGCGTAAACTATACTAATATTATATTCAAACTGAACTGTGAATGCCTCAAAAATGCTTAAAACAAGATGTACAAACGAGGAGGAACAGTACGTTACGTATGTTTCTATTATCCCAATTAAAGATTTTTTCCCATACATTTTTTTATATTTATATTAGTGCTGTCAAATGATTACATTTTTTAATCAGATTAATCACAGGGTTCCTGTGGATTAATTTTGATTAATCATGATTAAATATCATTCATTTTTAATCTATATTAATCACATTTAATTTTGCATGAGCAAACAGACTCAAGAAAAAAGGGAATATATATGCACTTAACATGTTTATTGAACATCTTGAACATGAGTCGGATGCATTCCATCTGCCACAGAAGTGCAATACCATGTACCCATATCAAAAAGCAAGATTTTTTGCTTAACCGGACAACTTGTCGGATTTAAGGTACCTCAGTTTAAATGGTCTTTATCTTCGTTCGCTTATAATTAGCACGAACTACCGTAAATCCGACAAATAATCCAACTAATCATGAAGTCCAATTCTAGCCCGGTTAATTGCCATTGTTAGCAATATCAGTTGATGACACATTACGTGCGGTGCTTTACATATAAAACTCTGTGGCAATACATCCACAGATAAGTTGGACGGTATAGTGTGTGCGACCGATTTAATGAGCCACAAATGAGAAGTAGTGCTTAAACAGTATAAGGCTACAACTTTCCCTTCTGTTGATAAAGGGCGCAGCCATCTTGGATTCTGAACTTGGGATCCTCTGTGCTGCTCCGAGATATTTCTCGGATGTCCGAGAAACGGGAGCGCATGTAGTCACTTCCGGCTTCAAAACTCCGGAATCCGACTCGGAATACAAGTTCCGAGGGGAAATGGAACGCACTAAAACTACCCGAAATGGGTTGACAGAGACATTTCAGTGATTTTGAATCATTCTGCGCTGCAGATGGGTTAATTGCGTAAAAAATCATGATGATGGATTAATCTGCGTTAACCCGTTAATTTTGACAGCCCTAATTTATATATTATTCATATAGTAAAAAGAGCTCTTTTATTGGAATATGTATCTGTATCGGCAGCTGTGTATCAGAATCAAATCAGAACTGAAAAAATGTGGACCGGCCCATCCCTAATCATAAGTACAGAAATATGAAATAACTAACATGGTTGATGCAGCTGAATGCAGCTGAATAAAAACTGCTATGAGTGTAACAAGTTTCATTTTATTCTGAATGTGAAACATAGCTACAAATCAGCTAAACAATTTGTTTTTACTGGGCTTTGAATGATACTCTGGATCATTTCATAAATCAAGTAGAGCCATCACGATTACTCAAACTTGATTACATGATTACTGAAAAGCATCGATTGCAATTTTTCTTCTCAATTCCTCAGCAATATGGCGAAAGGATGAGGGTCTAATTAAAGAGCAAAAGCATCATTTGTGTCGAAACACTCTACTTTAAAAGTGAATGAAAATGCAGTCGTCTGTCATTATTGCAGCGCAGAACTGAAATATCACCACAGTATGATTGCAATGCAGATACATTGACATTTTGTGTTTGTCGGATATGCGCCATTTAGCCACGTGGAGAAGCCTAGTCTTTTTGTCATCGCGTTCACTTATTATTTACTTTCTATGATTCCTGTATGTCAGAATAATTGCTGCTAAAACAAAGTTAAGTCCCGTGACTCAGTTGAATCTTTTTACATAATACAGTACATAAAAATATGCTATTAAACATAAACATATGCTATTAATTATTGTTATTTTTTTTGTTGTTTTTTTTTTTACGTATTTTGTGTTTTAGGGCTGAACGATACTGGGAACAGTTCATATTGCAATATCTGAAGTTTTTCCAATATTTTGAAATTAATTAATTAATTATACAGCCAAATGACATCTACCGACTGTCTGTCTAATAAGTTGGTTGTCTTGCCGTGAGTTGTGCCAAGACGCAAAGCAACGGCAACAAATAACTTAATTTTGTTCAATATTGTTTCTTCGGAATACAAAATATGTAATTGTTTTTTTTTTTTTTACATATACTAGTTTATTTTGAAAAGGAGCCATCATTAAAATTGCTCTATTGGGTTGAGATCTGGTGACTGTGGGGGCCATTTAAGTACAGTGAACTCATTGTCATGTTCAAGAAACCAATTTGAAATGATTCGAGCTTTGTGACATGGTGCATTATCCTGCTGGAAGTAGCCATCAGAGGATGGGTACATGGTGGTCATAAAGGGATGGACAAATTGTAGCCTCTTTTCCTATTTGTAGTGGAGATGAATGGTACCCGGTGGGGTCTTCTGCTGTTGTAGCCCATCCGCCTCAAGGTCGTGCGTGTTGTGGCTTCACAAATGCTTTGCTGCATACCTCAGTTGTAACGAGTGGTTATTTCAGTCAAAGTTGCTCTTCTATCA